CTCCACGCTGAGCATGGAGCCTGACTCAGGGCTTGATCCCAGGACCCTAAGATCATGACCTGAGCCAAAACCAAGAGTTGGACGCACCCCACAATTTAGTTTTATATTAGTAAAGGTTTTAGCCCCAAGAAGCTAGAGATAAATGTGTTTATCAATAAGAAAATTTAACCAGAGCAATTAGACAAAATAAAAAAACATAGGAGTGGATGTACCTTTATGAATTAGTGTTTTTGTTTTCTATTATTTTTTAAAAATTTTTATTTACTTATTTGACAGAGAGAGATACAGTTAGAGAGGGAACACAAGCAGGGGGAGTGGAAGAGGGAGAAGCAGGCTTCCCGCTGAGCAGGGAGCCCCATGCGGGGCTCGCTCCCAGGACCCTGGGATCATGACCCGAGCTGAAGGCAGACACTTAATGATTGAGCCACCCAGGCATCCTGAATTAGTATTTTTACTTTCTTTGGGTAAATACCCAGTGGTGCAATTATTGGATCATATAGTAATTCTATTTTTTCAGTTTTTTTTTTAGGAACATCCATACTGTTTTTCCACAGTGGCTCTACCAATCTTCATTCCCATCAACAGTGCACAAAGGTTCCTTTTTCTCCACATCCTCACCCAACACTTGCTAATTCTTGTGTTTTTTATTTTAGCCATTTTGAAGTAATATTTCATTATGGTTTTAATTTGCGTTTCACCGATCATGTGATAGAGACCTGAAACCATGTAAGTCCTAGAAGAAAATAAAGGCAGTAATTTCTTTGACATCAGCCATAGAAACATTTTTTTTCTAGATATGTCTTCTCTGGCAAGGGAAACAAAAACAAAATTAAGCTTACTGGCACTACACCAAAATAAAAAGCTTTTGCACAGTGAAGAAAGCCATCAACAAAACAAAAAAGCACTTACTGAATGGGAAAAGATATTTGCAAATGACATAATCTGACAAGGGGTTAATATAAAATATATATATAGAAGTTATACAACTCAGCATCAAAAAAACAATCCAATTAAAAAATGGGCAAAGGACATGAATAGATATTTTTCCAAAGAAGCCATGAAGATGACCAACAGACATGTGAAAAGATAACAATGAATTCTTAGATATGACACCAAAAGCCCAAGAAACAAAACAAAAAGATAAACTGGACTTCATCAAAAATGTTCATGTATCAAAGGATATTATCAAAGGGACAAAGGATATTATCAAAGGACAACCTACAGAATAGAAAAAAATATTTGAAATCATACATCTGATTAGAGTTTAATATCCAGCATGTATTAAAAAAAAACTCCTACAACTCAACAACAAAGAACAACCCAATTAAAAGCAGCAGACTTTTACAGACATTTCTTCAGGAAAGATATACAAATGGCAAATAAGCACATGAAAAGATATATAAATGAATAGGAACTCAGATACTTACATGTCAACATTCATAACATCAGTCACAATAGTCAAAAGGTGAAAGCAACTCGTGTCTATCATCAGATGAATGAGTAAACAAAATGTAACATATGTATACAATGGAGTATTATTCAGTCATAAAAATTACTGAAGTTCTTATACATGCTGCAATATGGGTGAACCTGGAAAACATTATACTAAGTGGAATAAGCCAGACACAAAAAGATAAAAATTGTACAATTCTACTTATGTGAAGTACCTAGAATAGGCAAATTCACAGAGACAGAAGGTAAATCAGAGGTTACCCTGGGCTGGAGAAAGAGGAGAATGGGAAACTATGGTTTAATGGCTACTGAGTTTCTATTTCTGGTGATGAAAACATTTTGTAAATAGACAGAGGTGATGATTGGATAACACTGTGAAAATATTGAAAGCCACGGAATACACACTGAAAAGTGGTTAAAATGTCAAATTTTATGTTATACATATTCACCATTTATAAAAACAATATTACTAAAAATTGAATCATGTTTAAATGAGTAAATTTATATGGTATGCGATAACTGAATAAAGCTGTTAAAATATACATATACTAAACATTTACCTTAAAGTCATGTTTACTGGATGTAACATAGATGAGTTTTTGTTTTATTCTTTTTCTTCACTGCCCATTTATAGTAATTTCAGATACGTATTACAAACACGTTTTTAATCAACACTAAAACAATTGTTAATAAGTCATGAAGTGAATTCCTTTAGAGTTATACATATGCTCACTAAATTTAAATTGGAAATTCCCATCAGAATTATCCTAGTTCTGTACTGACATCTCTCTCTTCAGCCCATTCAAAATGCCACCCTATACAGTTACTGTACATACTGGATATAGCAGGAGCTTAATAATAATTTAAGTGAATGCATGATTAAGTTATGGATGGAAAACTCATGTGATCCATGCTGCTTTTTTCTCTCTACTCCATACTTCTAAGTCAATTCCTTGCTGATTCCTGGAGGTGGTGAGATTCTCTGAAACCTCAACTCTCTTAGAGACGTCTGCCTATTGACAAATAGTGTAAGTTAAACATAGCATTTTTTAGCCTAATACAGGCTTATCATTATACATTACAGTGTTAGAACTGGCAGAAAACTTCACAGATATTTTGTTTTCCTCATAGAAGGATCCATCATTTTAAGTAAAATTGTTTATGTCTGAGTACCAAACTTACATATAATTGATGCATATGGAAAATTATATCATAGTACTTGAAATAGTAAATGTATGGAGTTGACACTAGAAATTTACTTAATATAAGTATCTATTGATGGTGGGTGATATTTTACAGTATAAACAGGAACTACATTAAAAATTAAGCCTAACAATTCAGAGATCTAATATTTGGGGACATACCTTTGATGGGAAAAATAACAGTAGTTTGTGACTGCTAATGAACATAATTTAAAGGAGGACGAATTTACCATTGCTCACATTCTACTACTCATACTGTGATGCTTTCCTCTTTTACTACAACTTCACATTCTTACCTTAAGTGTCACCCTTCCTTCTTTGTGGTCACCTGATCCCCAAAGCCTACCACCTATAGGTCTTTTTTTTTTTTTTCATTTTAATAGAAAATTATTTAAGACTTAAAAATCCTCTCAGAAGAAAATTAGCTCCAATAGCTGAATTTAACGGAGCTGGAAAACTGATCAATTTACCTGCCTTCTGCCTGCCTCTTGGTCTAGGTCATCCGGGGTCCCAGCTCCAAAGCCAAAAATAATTGTCTCACATCAAGATCTTTTGTATTGCTTGTACCTTACTTCTATCCAATTGACTGCCAAGCCTGTCCCTTCAGTTCCTGGTTGCCTGCCTGGCCTTTGGACCATCTATCCTACCTAGCCCCACAGTCTAGATTTCCTCTTGCTTCCTGATTTCATGCCTGATTTCAGCTGAGATTAATTTTTCTGAGCTGTGTCTGCATTCATCTGATCTTTATCTAGTTCCTAACTTCCATTTTGTTTTGTTACTCCCTACCTCAATGTTCAGTCTCTCCTGTGCCAGCCTTTGTTTTGGCATTGTGACACATTTTGAAGTTTCCCTTCAACTCCCTATCCCATCTCAACACTAAAAGCAACCCTGCCTGGCGTGCACCTAACTGCATCATTTACTGAGCTTACCACTCTGACAACTTTACACTGACTAGTCTTGGAGGAAGGAAAGGAAAAGAATCAAATATCACTTATTCAACCTAACTGTACAAATCATAAGTACTCACTGTAGTTAAGGAATTAACAGATACTTGTTGCCTCATCATTTGAGTGTATCTATGATTTTTTTTTCAAATAATAACCCACAAATATATAGCTGCTATATATATCCCTATGCATTGATACCCAAAATGTAGACTCAATGATGGTGAACTGGTTAAGCTATTGAATATTTAAGCCAATTGTATAGAAATAGTGGAGATTAGGAAGCTTTGAAGACTGAATCCACAGGAAGAACATACTGACAGCCAAACACAATTACCCAGATTAGGCTGTTGGACTCACTATGTGTTTTGGTAGATGACAATAAGAGGTCATTAACGGACGATTTCTTTTCAAAAAACAAATCAGTCAGAGTTCCCTCTTTACTGCCTTTTCCCTTAGGATTTAAGGCTATATTATTGACAGACTTATTGTCATTATACCCCGATTAGGCAAAAATATTCATGCATTATACATTTTTTTTCCTCTTAGCTGCCCTGAAGACACTGGCAATCATCCTACAATTGGTCTTTCCATTCTCCATTATGCTTGTGTGTGTGTATATATATGTGTGTGCATATATGGGATCATTCTGTAAATCTTTAATGAGGCGTATTTAGTTATCTTGTTATATTTTTTGCTCCTGTGATGGGCATTTTTTATTCTCAACAGTTGTGACCAACTATTCCAGGGTTTGTTGTCTTCTAATAAGTCCATAGACTCTTAATTAAGTAAAGCACAAAAAGAAAATGATCATTTAGGAGTTCAGTTAATCAGAGTATATTAGCAGATCTAGACCAACATGTGAGATTATCAAGGACCCATCTCTTTATGATTCATTTAAAGGAAACACTAACATTAAGAACTCTTCAAAACACATTCAAATTTGCTATTTAAAATGTTAAAGAATGACTCATTGCTACAGATCTTTATGACAAACACTGTCATGAAAAATAGTCCTCAGGATTTGGTGGTTTGGCACTTTTGAAGTCTAAGGTAGCCTTTCCATATAGCCAGTTCTTTATAATGTTGTACCCTTTGTATCACCTGAGTAATATTTTAAGAAATCAATTTTAAGACCAATTTATGCCATTTTTTATTTGCCTGCATTTATTTGGATCTAAATATTCAGAGTTCAAATTATATTTACTTTCAAGAATGTGGTTGCCTTGGTGCCCTGCAAAAAAAAAATAATAATAACTTTACTTATGGTAATACATTCATAAAAATAAGTATGCTGGCTAGACAATGTGTCTCTCAAAGATGTCTACCAGAAAATAACCTGGAAATGTATTGTGCTACATTTCAATACTTACTCTTTTTTTATGGTCCTGTGTGCTTTAAGGAAAACTAAAGGAAGTGTTAAATGTGCATTTGTTAATCCGGTTTATGGGAACTGGAGTGACCCAGAGAAAACAGAGGTAAGTGGTAATGGTGAACTGTACTGTTTCAGAAGCAGAAACACACACACACAGTGTTGTTTGGACATGTCCATATCATGGCTACGAGGAACGTTTTAACAGAGTTATTTTATTGGGAATGGGAAGGAGTTTTAGTCCTTCTAGATGTGCAATGAGAATTTCCATTCCAGGGCAGATTCAATCTGTTTGTAAAGTTAGTTCACTGTTAAGTGGCTTTGTGGTCACTGTTCATACTCAACAAGAGCTGACAAATCTGGAAAATATCAGTTTAACCCAGAGTATTAGTCAGCTACCCATAGTAACTCTTTATTGACTGTTCTTTGTATTCTATTCCCAAAGACAAAAGGGAGGACAGCATTCTGTGCTGTGCTTTAAATTTAGGTGTGAGCAGTAAAGGGCTATTATCTGATAATTTAGAATACTAAAGGAGAAATTAAAGTGTATTCATCTTTCTTGGGACCTTTTAGGGCTATTCCTTATCAGTGCACTAAGTAGACTAAAGAGAAAATGAAGTAAAATCTTTCTCATCTCTTTCTTAAGTAGATAATATGAGCATTCACTTAGATATCAAATAGGATTAGCCATGACGCATCACTTCTTGTCTACGAAAACCTCCTTACATCTGATTTTAGAAATATTTTATCAGATTCATTCTTGTCAAAGTGAGTATATAGAAAGCTAAAGTGTTCATTTCTCCTCTATTATTTTTAAAGAGAATAGGCCACAAACAGTTGTTACCATTATTTAAATGAGTAACAAGGTGCCAGATTAGATGATTTCTAGTAGTTTTGGAACCTTGGTTGATATGGCTGAAGGCTAACACTTGACTTTTTAATTTGTGTTTTATTCAATAATGATGTCATATATACTTTTAGTATTATTTTGGTAGGAATGAAAACAAGGAATATTTCCCAGAACACAAAGAGAATTAATTTGGATGATCTGTCAAGTCAATCAAGACACAGAGTAAAACTTACAATGTAGCCCCCCCCCCTTCAAATGGATAGTCCATAAATAAATGCATATTTAGGAAGCCTAAGGTATCTTTTTGGCAAAGTAGGTAGGTGTAATACAAACCTACTTTCATTTTAGGAAAGGAAAGAAAATTTAATCTTTTTAAAAAAATCTTCAGTTTAACATTTAGTATCCGAAAGATACAAATGATATAAGGAAATCAAATGTAGTGTTTTAAATTTGGCATTTTTATATTAATATCTTATAAACTTGTAATAATTAAAAAGCTGCTAGGAAGGTACTGTGCATCTTTTACTTTCTACTGAGAAATGGTCTCTCTGGCACACGGGTGGGGTTCATATCAAAGACCCACCTTTCAAGGTGCTTTCAAAACTCTATTATGTTTGCATACGGCAGTCAATCGATGACCAGAGAAACTTGGAAGCAATTTCCTTTTTTCTATCCAAATAAAAAAAATAATTCCTCTTTCACATTTTTTACCTTCCATTAAGAATGGCTAGAGAAGAAATTCTGCCACAGTTCTTGAACTTTGTTGCTGCTTTGATTTCTATTGTTTCAGAAAACAATGACTTTGTATACGTATAGGTATACTACATATACCTTTCCTGACTTTGTAACAGAGAAATAGACTTCTCCAAAATACTCTTCCAAAACCTCTTAGAGAAAATTCTCAAATCCTGATATAGAAATTGTAAGAATAGTATAATGAACTGCCATGTATCCATCTCCCAACTTCAATTATTATCAACCCCTGGTCATTCTTGTTTCACCTCTACACCACCCATTCCCACTATACACCAGAATGGTGGTGTTGGTTTATTTTTGTTTTTTTTAAGACTGTTTTGTTTAGAGCTGTTTTAGGTTCATAGCAAAATTGAGCAGAAGGCACAGACAGTTCTCATATATCCCCCCACACACAAACACATGGTCTCTCCCATTATCAACATCCTACACCAGAATGGTACATGAGCTACACTGACAAACCTGTATCTTCCCATCACCCAGAGTCCATAGTTTACATTAGGGTTCATTCTTGGTGTCAACCAGGTTATTTTTAAACAAATCCCAGATATCATTAAATTTCATCTGTGAAGACTTAAGTTGTAACATTAAGGGATAAAGACTTTTAAAAAATATAACCACAGTATCATACCTAAACATTTAATAATTCCTTGATGCCATTAAATATTCAATCAGTGTTCAACCTACCCCAACTGTCTCATAAATAAATAGGGGGGTTATATTTGTTGCTGTTGCTATATTTTTAAAATTAGGATGGATATAAGGTATATTATCCAAATTGATAGACATGTCTCCTAAGACTCTTTTAATCTCTAGGCTCCATTTTCTCTCTCATGTTTTCCTTGCACTTTCTTTGTTGAAGAAATCAGTGTTTGTTTGTCCTATTAGAACTTTCCACATTTTAGGTTTTCTAATATACTCTGTAAAATATAACTCTCTCAACTAAAAGTCAGGTTTATTTGTTTTGTATTTTGTTTTGTTTTGTTTAACTATGATCAATACAGGGACGCCTGGGTGGCTCAGTCGGTTAGGCGTCTGCCTTCGGCTCGGGTCATGATCCCAGGGTCCTGGGATCGAGTCCCGCATCGGGCTCCTTGCTCTGCGGGGAGCCTGCTTCTCCCTCTGCCTCTGTCTCTCTCTCTGTCTCTCATGAATAAATAAATAAAAAATCTTTAAAAAAAAAAAAAAAACTATGATCAATACAGCAGACTTAGAGAAATCAGCACCTCAGAAAGAGGTAGTCCAGATTCTGCCACTGCACTTCCCCATCCCACCAGAGGTGAGGCTAAGGCAGTGACTCCTATGCCCCAAGGGCCTTGGACAGAGACCAAGCTTTGGTCTGTCAGCAGTGTAGGCAGTGTGGACTGGAGGTCCTAGGGGGAGAGTCAGGAATGCTCTAGTTACTACTGCAGTGGAAATCCATTAAAAACTCATTGTATTCTGCATGATCTGGAAAGAAGTCTGTTACTTTAGTGACTAAAATCCTAACCTCTTCAATGTGTTTTTCTTTAGAGTTCTGTATACTCCTTCTCAAATCCATTGTATGGCACAACATCAGGATGCCTGGAGACCATATCTAATCATCTGAAGTACCATCCAAATCAAGTATGATCTAGGATATGCAGTTTGTAGAAAATCCTACTCTGAAACCTGATAGAAACTCATCTTATGCAATAGTAAAAATAGAAGGGATTCAGAATACTAGTGTAATTATTACATTTACAAATAAATTTTCTTACTGAATATATTAAATGTTTTCATGGAATCTGAATCAGAACCTTATATTCTTTGTATATCTGAATATTTTAATAAAATGTTCTACTTGAATTTCTTGTTTTCTTTTGATTTTTATCATGGTTATTTTTTTAAATTACAAATCAAATTGTTTTATATCCTGAATATAAATAAGTGTTAAAATGCTTATTTAAATGAGATAGAGCTTAAAAACAAGAATAAGTGAGTATACAAATTAGCAGGAATGGACAAATCATACCAATCCTAATACACATAATCATGAGTAAAAGTTATTTATGCATCTTGGAAAAAATGTGAAATTGTCAGCCTAAACTTGCCTTTATTCAAATAATTATTTAACACATATCTTCATATAGATATAAAAATAATACTGAAATACATGAGTTAAAAAGCTTTGGACTTCAAGAAACTGAAAAATCCCTACACCAATTGTTTAAATAATGTGGCAATTATTATCCTGAAAATCAGGAAATTGGGAGATAGAGCACTTCTTTTGGTTGGTTTTTGCAAAAGCCCCATGCCTTCAGCAAGGACTCTGGTTATTTGTAAGTTTCAGTTCCTAGATTTTGTTCTCAGGCTAGCTCCCTGACAGGTAAGAGGATAGCTTTATAAGCTGCAGCACTGTTGCATTCACGATAAAGTTCAGAGGCAGAAAAGAGGCCATTTTTTCTCGTGTCACTAATCCTTATCAGGATGCACTCCCAGCAACAGCACTCTTATCGGCCAAGGGAGACATGGAGCCCATGCCAAGCCAACCTCTTCAAAGGTGATGAGGCCACCGTGGCTGGCGGACACCCTTCACTATACCCACTAGGCTAAGAACAGACCCGTGAAGCTCTCTGACAAGTACTTGAGGGAAGATACTTGAACAAAATTAGAGGACAGTTAGGATCAAGAAGGTGACATAGCCATGTAACAAGCAACTATCTTCATCTGCTCTAAATAATAATAAGGGGAATGTTCCTTGCAATCTATTGGATACAGACAAAATTAGTGATCAGTAACCTGCTGGCCTCTGTTCTTAAGGGTTTGGAGAGAAGAACAAAAAGTTCAGGAATTACTATCCCATGATCATTTAGGACATTCCTCAGCCCAATGTAAGGTCAGTTGTATACAATACAAGGTTCACTACCAACATATTAGTGCCTTTTGTGAGACTACAGACTGGAAAAAAATACATTGTTGTTCATTAGCCTTCCAATAGATTAATCTCAAATTTTATGCCTGTTAATTGTTTTGAAGCCCATTAACTGCATTCTAGTTGCACTCTCTCTGATTATCTTCTCCTAACTGCTGCTCACCTATTGACATCAACATTTCTGATCTAGAAACATTCACACAAGAGAGAATCACTTATTCTTGTTGTTGAAGTTTGACCCCTAGCATTGTGGTACATACACATTTTGGGAAGCTGCATTTATTTTAGCTTAAAACTATCATCAGGGGTACCTGGGTGGTACAGTCGGTTAAGTGCCCAACTCTTGGTTTTGGCTCAGGTGGTGATCTAAAGTCAGGAAATCAAGCCCTGCATCAGGCTCCACATTCAGTGAGGAGTCTGCTCAAGACTCTCCCTCTCCCAGTGCTCTCTCTCAAATAAATAATTGAATCCTAAAAAAACAAAACAAAACAAAAACTATCATCCAGATACATTCAGGATCTTTGCCTAAGCTTATAGGAGTCAAAATTCAAATACAGTTTTAGTAAAAGACCTCAAGGCATGAAAAATGTAGGAAAAATGCCATTTTACAAAAGAGATAATAACAATGATTATCCAACTTAAATTGGCTTGTTTCATAGGAATACTGAGGAAATCATGACATACAGGTAGCTCCAAATTGAGGGTTACAGAAATCAACAGAGACTAGAAATTAAGGTATTCTTAGGAGTAGTTAAATTTTTCTTCAGGTACAAGTTATGTGCCCCCTAAAATGTTTAAATCAAACATTTTGTGAGGTCTTATAAATACATATGGCAATTCTATGAAACTAAAAGAATGAAACTGATTTTTTCTTATCCAATAGATAGAAGAGGTATGTGTTTATGTTGTTTTCATAATTTAATTTGACATTCAGAAATAAAAAATTTGTTTTTATTTGCATTGTTCTTCCTCTGACAACTTTATGATGTAAGTCCAAATCTGCACCATTGTGATTTTAAAAATATAAAAAAGAAGAAGAAAAATAGAGAAAGGAAGAACAAGAAGTATACAGAGTTCACAAATTATATAATTCAGCTTTAAGTCATGAAAAGATATTGTATGGTGACTAACATAATAAAATAAAATTTAAAAAAATAATAATAAATCATGAAAAGATCTCAAATTTCACACAGGACACAGAATCCATTGGAAGTATTTTTTTTAAGCCAGTGAATGTCAGGAGAATGGATCCCAGTGAGTAGGGCTGATTCTTAGGGTTTTTAGTGCATAATATTTAAGACAACATCTTGTTAACTGAATTCATGTGACGAAGGTATTTCCCAAAATATACTATAAGCACACAATATTAATAACAATAGCAACAACAAATGCTAAGTACTGATTACCTGAAAAATGCTGTTTAAATATTTTACATGTTTTAACTCAGATAAATGTAAACACCATACTGTATACTATGGTAGTCAGCCACATGTGGACATTTAATATGAAATTTACATTAATTAAAATCAACTAAATTTGAAAATGCATCTCCTCAGTTGCACTAGACACATTCCAAGTGCTCACCGGCCATATATGACCAGTGACCACTATAATGGAAAACACTGGAAACATTTTCATCATATAAAGTTCTCTCAGACAGCACTGTTTAGAACAATGTTGAAATATTTTGCTATAAATGGCATAAAAGTAATCTCTACAAATCTAATAAGCACTAGAACTGGCCAATTTCTAAAGTAACAACAAATTATAAATAAAACAAGCCACATGTATCTGAAAGAAAACTAGCAAATATGTGATAAACAAGTACATATTAACAGTGCTGTCTTGACGTATAAATGTCAAATAACATTCTATTATACCATTATCATCTTTGCCTAGTCCTTTCTCTACATTTAGATGGCACCTTGAAGAAATTGTGTAAGAATCTGCTTTTCTCTATTAATCTTCTTGACCATAATTTTTCACATATATCACACTAAGAACAAGATTCACGAATCCTTTAAATCCTGTGTTTAGCACATTAAGGGCATGTGCTTCAGGTAAACCAATAATTATATTCATGGCAACATCTTTTGCAGTAAGTAGTCTTAAATTTCATTCTTAAAGATAAAAACCAGGGAAAATCCATAAAAAACTGACTTTTTTTTTTTTTTTTACCCAAAATGCCTTTTAAAAATAAGACTTCTAATATGTATTTCACTGCCAAACCAATGACAGGTTTGTGAGTCTTAATGTTCTTCTGATTTTCTTTGTATCAATTTGCAAAATGTTTTCCATTTCATTGCTAATGTATCTAGAAAACTAGTCCAAGTGTTAATATCTAAAGTTATCATCAAACTCAATATCCTACTCTTTAAATAATTACTTACAAGTGGAAAGGCACCACACTTCAATGAGCACACACTTTGTGAAATTTCAATGAAACTAGATACACGCCATATCTTGAATTAAAGAACTCTGTAACTATGAATCAGTTAAAGCATGCACAAAAATAAATAAGTAAATGAATAAACAAAATACTTAAGGACTCACTTAAAAATTCATACTGATTCATGTCATTAAACATTCTAAGAGAGTGGAGTGCTCTAAAGAGCACATTTTCTTCTCCAGAATGTGGAAGCAAAAATAAAGAGCTTTTTACTTTTCTACATTTGTATACATTTATTTATTTAGGTCCAGCTCTGGGCCCTATCAAGATGACTTCTTTGAAGTTTTATATTTGTTCAGAGTTATGCAGTCAGTATGATTTGGGGCCAATAAAAATAAAAAGCCATCATGAGAGATCAAAAATAGCAGTCCTAGTTTCTCTATCTAGTTTTTTACCCCCCCAACAGATATTAAGTAACCATTAATCTACTGCTACCATAAACTAATGGTTAAAGAGAAAAATAGTCACTGCGGGGTAATTATAATTGCCATTAATTTGTTCAACAAACTATTTGTACATAAAACATTGAAATAAGTGAGACAGACAGTGTGAGGAGAGTGAATAACAAACACAATATATAATGTGGCTTCTTCCCATCTGGAACTTCTATCCTGCCCTATATGGGAACCTCTAAACTTTTCTCTATCTTGTTAATTACTCCAGTGCTAATACACATCTTTAAGCATATAAAGTAAGAAGTTGATAAGATGAAATAAATATATATATGTATACACAAACATATATATATATGTATGTATATGTATGTGTGGGTGTATATATATACACAAACACACATGTATATTTTAAAGATTTTATTTATTTTTTTGACAGAGAGAGAAAGCACAAGTAGGCAAGAGGCAGGCAGAGGGAGAGGGAGAAGCAGGCTCCCCACTGAGCAGGGAGCCGGACATGGGGCTCGATCCCAGGACCTTGGGATCATGACCCAAGGCGAAGGCAGCCACTTAACCGACTGAGCCACCCAGATGCCCCACGTATTCTTTCAATGAAGTGGACCAATAAAACTAAATACAAGTTCTTTAAAAAAGAATAATAAATCCCTGATGAAACAATAGCAGCAGCAACAAAATAAACCTTTGGTGAAGTAAATTATAAGATTAAAATAAACACCTGAGGAAATGAATCAAAGAAAGATTATGCACAAATAGTCTATGTCAGAAATGGAAACAGTATAATCACCAGAGTCTACCAACAGTGAGAAGGTAATGAAGATATTGTAAAAACCAAAAACAAGAAATATGACAAAAAATATCAAACTTTAGAGGAAATAAATCCCTTGAAAATATAATTTCCTAAAACAAACATAAGAAATAGAAAATATAAGCAGTCCTACAGCAAAGTAATTGATCCATACTTAGTAATCTTCCTTCAAACAAAGCTCTAAGTTCATAAGAT